TCAGTACTTCAGCATAACGTTTCTTACAGGTTTCCTCGTGGTTCTATTTAAAGTAATGTTCTCAAATTGTTCAGAGATCTTTTAAGAAACAACGTACTTCTGTGGGAATTTCAGTACTTCAGCATAACATTTTGTACAGGTTTCCTCATGGTTCTATTTAAAGTCATGGTCTCAGAACATTAAGACAACTTTCCATAAAGACCACAATAAATCATTAGTAATGTTCAAACAACATTCCATTCTCAGCGTTAACAAAACTCTCTCTATCCTCTATCTTGTTAAAGGGAAACTTCACCATATTTCAACTTCCTATTTATCATCTCCAGCACCACTCCAACATTAACATACAGTATGTGAAAATGGTGCGTTTTTATGTTTTGTAGTAAAAAAGATAGAGGGAGACAGGTGTTTCCAATGACATCATCGGTGTGCATCGTGTGATTTTGACCAAATTTGACTATATTTTTTACTACAAAACACGTGCCATTTTCACATACTGTATGTTGAAGTTGGGGTGGTGCTGGAGGTGATGAATATGAAGTTGAAACAATGTGAAATGTTCCTTTAAGTGTATTCAGGTTTGTTGGCCGTGCCCACTAATCCTGATCTTAATGAGTGCTTGTTTCCTTTGAAATAGGGTATGTTTGAATAGACTGAACAGCTTTGTATTAGTAAAAGGCTCGCTCCATCCTGGTGGCACAGTGGACTAATTCCATGGATAGAGAACAAAAGATGATAGGTTCGAATCTCACTGACGCCATGCCACAATAAAAGATAGATGTGTTTATATGATTAATGCCTAAGCAAATCCTATCTTTGCTTGGAGTTCAAAAAAGTTAACCCAAACTAAGCTAGCAGTGTCATTAAAAGTCTTATTGAAACATTTTCTCAGAACGTTATTTACCTTCAAATAACCTATAATTTCTGTTCTCAGAACGCTAATAAAACCTCCCAGGAAAACTTTCAGGGAACCATAATTAAACATTCTCAGAACCTCGGGCAACCTAAAAATTATCGTTCCTAGAACAGACGGAATATTTAAAAAACATTCAGTTTTACCGGTCTGGAAACGTATGGTTTCGTTCCCAGAACCAATGGGAAACCAAAAACGTACATTCCCACAACGTCCAAGGAACCAAATGTGCTAGCTGGGCTAACACTCCACCACCCTGCTTTCCCCTCCATCCCTTTCTCTTCCTCTCCGTCTTTATTTTCACCTCTCCATTAGTTCAGATCACTTCCCAGATTCTAAACATGATCAGTTGTTGTGTATGTTTAAACAGTAATTACACAGCTGCAGCAGTAATATCAAATCAAATGTTATTGGTCGCGTACATATCTAGCTCCAACAGTGCAGTAATACCTAACAATATAAAACAATGCACATAAATCCAAAAAAGAAAAAGAAAGGAATTAAGAAATATATTAATATTAGAGTTCGGAATATGAATATATACTGTATGTATATGATGATGTGTATAGACATTATGGACAGTATATGAATAGAAAAGGTGTGTACAGCAGTAGTTACATAGGGTATCTCAGTGACCTCGTGGTTAGAGTGGCTGCCCTGAGATTGGAAGGTTGGGAGTTCAATCCCCAGCCTAGTCATACCCAAGACTACATTTGGGACCCAATGTGTCTCTGCATGGCACTCAGAATCAAGGAGATAGACTATGATCTCCCTATGATAGACTAGCGTCCTGTCCAGGGGGTGTACTTGTATATCATACTGCCTAATGCTACAGAAACAGGAGATATAAGCCTTTCCAACTTGCACAAATCAAGGCTACTTACTTTAATACCCCGCTACTCCTGAACTGTCTGTTTCCACTCAGACTAGACCCATTCTGACATCTATTACTTACTTTAATACCCCACTACTCCTGAACTGTCTGTTTCCACTCAGACTAGACCCATTCTGATGTCTATTACTCTGTCAATTGTTGTTGTAGTTGTATTGCTGGCATGTTGCCCTTTCATTGTTGGGGCCCCACCCCGAATGAAAGCGTGCCATTGGTTGTTATTATAGAGACATCAGAATGAACCTTTCCATGATTGGTTTGATCCAAAATAAACAACATTAGTCAGAAACCAAAGGCTGGATGTAATCTTAAGGATCAACTGGTCCTCTGTGTTTCCTCTTCATCAGTTTAATCAGGACTGTTGGTTTTAGACTGGAGTGGAGACTTCTCCAACAGTTCATGTTAAGAGTTAAGAGAGGGAGAGAGAGAGGAGAAAGGAGTAGAGGGAGAGAGAGAGAGAGGGACAGAGAGAGACAGAGAGAGTGAATGATGGAAGGAGAGAAATGAAGAGAGGGAGGGACAGAGAAAAGAGAAAGAAAGATAGAGAGAGCGAGAGAGCGAGAGAGAGAGAGAAGAGAGAGAGAGGAGAGAGAGAGGGAGAGGAGAGGAGGAGGAAGTAGAGAGAGAGGAGAGAGGAGAGAAGAGAGAGGAGATGCGAGGGAGAGAGAGAGAGGGAGAGAGAGGAGGAGAGGGGAGCGAGAGAGAAGGATGGGAGAGAGAGAGGGGTGAAGAGAGAGGAGGAGAGACAGAGGAGAGAGAGAGACAGAGGAGAGAGAGAGAGAGAGATCACTTATCTCTGAAAAAGAACATTTCAGGACATCATTTCAGGACTGTCAGGACAACAATAAAGAAACACTCTGATCACAGAATGTGTCTTTGCTGTGGAACTAAACTCTATAAAGTTGTAGTTGAGCTTTGAGAGGATATCTCAGGCCCAGCCAGCTTCAAACCCATTCTGATACCTATCTGGGATATGGTGCCATTAAACTCAGCCTTCCCTTTTATATCACACTTTCTATTTATTTTCCTTTTGAATGTACCAATATTTCTCTGTAAAACTCTGAATCACTTTTCAACCTAATGAAAAACACGGGCCATAACCCAGAAGTCAACTCAGTGTGTGCTAGTCTGTTTGCCATAAGGCTCTTACCACAAACTATATTGGCAATAACCTTAATGAGCTCTTTCTGTAAGATATTTATATCGTTAATTATATCTCCGATCTAAAAGACCAAAGAACAAACATTTGTCTTGTGTGCAACTTTCTTAATATTTTAATTGGCGTACAAACCAGAAAATGATGTAATTTACACATACAATACTGGGATTAATTGATTCATGTACAAAACGTTGAATGTATTATATTGGTACTAATAATTGTTTTCTATTTTCTAATTTTTTCTGTTTGTTTGTTTGTGTTTGTCTGTCTGTGTATTGCAGGAGCTCCAGTAAGTACTTTCCTCGTCTCATCCAGGCAGCCATCCAGGATGTATCACACACACACGCACACACACAGTGCCAGTAGAGGGACCACACGGACAAGTGTGTGTGTGTGTATGTCTGTGTGTATGTCTGTGTGTGTGTGTGTGTGTGTGTGTGTGTATGTCTGTGTGTATGTCTGTGTGTGTGTGTGTGTGTGTGTATGTCTGTGTGTATGTCTGTGTGTGTGTGTTGTGTGTGTGTGTTTTGAGTATTCTGTGGAGAGCGTTAGAGAGCAGGCCAGGGTAGTGACTGGTCAATGTTCCTGATGGAGAAGACTGCTGCTGCCGCTTCCCATCCCAGGTCCTGTTCCTGGGAACAGAGAGCTGGGATATCACACAGCTGCCACTGACTCACTGGGTCTGCGTCCCAAATGCCACTCTGTTCCCTATATAGTGCATTACCTTTGACCACAGCCATATGGGCAATGATAGGGTGCCATTTGGGATGCAGGCTGGTGGACTGTCTCTCTGAGAGGGCAGATATAAGAGGGATAGGATTCTGTTTATATAGTTAGGAGTTTATATGAGATCATTATAGGAGATCACTGTGCACTATAGTTCATTGAACCACGCTCGTATCTTGTCTCCAGACAGTGTGCTTGCATGTGTTACAGTATGGCGTTTTGATGGTGGATGGTGTGTTATTGCTGTGTTGTCTGTCATTTGCTCTAACAATTGTAATGTTGTGTGCTTTACTTTCTTTAACCTCACCAGGGCAAGACGGGGAGAGATGGATACCCGGTAAATTTGATTGACTTTTTAGATTCTCTTAGCCTGTTTTTGGTTCCTACATTTTATTTTTATGTTCATCCTCTTCTCTCTTTTTTGGGTGATCTTTTTTCTACCCACTCCTTCTACCTTGCCTTTTTACTTACTTCTAACATCAATGAGTGTGTTCTCAACAATGATTAATATCATTCCTGCTCTGTGCGTCAACTGAAAACGTCTATAGACACACACACACACACACAAACAGCCCAGTGTGATTAGTGCGGGCTAATTGGTTTATCCCCCCAGGTCTGTTCCCAGCACCACATGTCTTGTAATGATAACATCATGGCTGCTGCCTGCTAACAGCAGACAGATCAGAGACACAGCAGCAGTGTCGCGTTAGAAGATTTTTCAGTGTGACGCTCAAATGATTAACTGGTTCAGTTTAATAGGTTGTTTCATCAAGTGTCATCAGCCAGTCTTTGAGGGTCCGGAGTTAAATAGTTAATCTACTTTCAAACAATCCATTGTAACCTCAGACCAATAGGTCGATTCGATTTCTGTTCAAGTGATAACCTAGTTGGGTATAGTGTGGAGTTGTCACTCTTTCATCTGGTGGCCTCTAGTGGTCATATGGGAACCTCCAACTCTCAGTATGGGCATGATTCCCTCTCTGGTCTCTGCAGTCTGCTTCGTGATGATTAGTGTTTTAGTTAGTGTCGGGTGAACGTGACTCGTTCCATCTAGGGTGATTTTATTTAGTTGGTTGATGATCTTGAGAGTTCCTGGGCTGGCTGTCCTTATAGGAGACTATTTTTGTTAGACAGCAGAGTAATAATGAGGATGTGGAACCTCTGGACCAAAGCAGGTGTTCTGGGCTTGGTGTCTATGGCGTTTGGAACCATGCTCTGGTCTCAGAAGAAGACAGAAATGACTCCGCATACTACCTTCTCCTTGCAAGCTCAAACTCGTGCAAGTCCTGTACCGCCACGGAGCGGATGTCATGGAGGCCCAGTGGGTGCCTAACCTCCTGGAACTCCCAGCACACACACAGATCAACTACATGGTTACAGACTTGGAAGGAGGTCCATGGCCCTCCTCACCGGTGGAGGACAGTTACCGGGCCAACATACTGACCAGGGGTATGTTCCCAGGTCAGCTGACCACGGTGGGCATGCAGCAGCTGTATGAGCTAGGAGAGAGGCTGAGGAAGAGGTACATCCAGGACACGGACTTCATCAACCCTACCTTCAGCCCTACAGAGGTCCACTAACATTGTGAGGACAGTGTCTGGTGGCAGGACAGTTCCCATTCTGATCATTGAGGCAGAGTCAGAGATCCTGTATCCTAACTACCACGAGTGCAGACTGCTCAAACTCCTCAGCGGTCATCGCTGGGCGGAGTCGTCCACTCTGCCAGACATCGCTGCGGACCTGAGGAGCAACCAGAGTGCTCTGGGCATCACTGCCCACCAAAGTGTTGACTTCATCCATCAGGGATGACACGATGGCCAGAGAGACACACGGCCTGCCCTGCCCACCAGTCCTGGACTCCTGGAGGAGCACAGTGGAGCAGAGAGCCTTGGAGATGATCTGTCACATCTACGAACCCAGCAAGAGGGAGAACCTGCAGCTGTGTGTGGGTCCCCTCTTCCACACCCTGATTGGCAACATAAAAGACAAACTGCAGGGCTCAACCTCAGAGCTCAACAGGAAGCTGTTCCTCTGCCCACTACACCACTCTGATCCCCTGTCTCATGGCTCTGGGGGTTTTTGACATGCGATGGCCACCGTACGCCACTGACATCACCCTGGAGCTGCATCAACACAGGCAGACCAAAGAGGCCTTTGTCAAAGTGTCCTACATTGGCAAGGACCAGTTGATTCCAGGCTGTAGTGGAGTCTACTGCCCCCTGCAGGAATTCAAGCAGGCCTTCTCTAACTTCTCACTGACCTCTGAACTCTACGAGTCACTCTGCAACCGCACAGAGGGCGCGGCCGACCTCTGA